AACTCATAATAATCTCAGAAAGTACATGTAAATGAGCATGGTCAGCACCTCTCAAGAGTCCTCACTCATCCCTCTGGTCAGTCTCTCTCAATCTCTTTTTACTGATCTTCTCTRGTGTCGAGACCCATGCCCACGTACAATCTRAGACCGAGGCTTYGTGACAAAATGTCACCTGTAGCCAGCAAGCTCTRAGCACGACCATMCGAGGCACATAACACGRTAGTTAACCATGGAGCAAAACTCCTCCCRCAATGTASGCAKCCCGTCCACTGAAAAGACCCCTCGTCTGAGGTAGGGATACTCAGTGGGCTCAGTCAAYGCCTCAAYGTCGATCACCGYTGGGGAGATGTACCTTTTTGCCAAACCGAYCACATCCAGCCAACTTGTGYCATCTGTGAGAAGAGAAGGAAYTGGAGGCCTAGGATAGTCAGTATAAAGCATCGGCCGGAAGCTACGAATCAATGTAGTGTCACTCTCATCAAGTTCCCTCTCTCTCTGGTCAAGGTATTCGGTGGCTGAGATCCAGACCGGATCGAAAAACTCATGAGTCTCCTTGCCCTTCTTCAGGTAAGGCCTCAGATCGTGGATAGTGCCATCAGCAAAACTGGTCTGGACAACGAAGATTGACAGATCTCCCTGTCTGAAACCAGCGGCACTAACATACTGATAATGAAATGCCTCTTTGCAAGAGATCCGATTGAGGTTGGCCAGCACTGACTCACTGACCGGCGTAGACTGAACTGTGCTCAGGAGTACTCTTGCCAGTACAAGTTGACCAGATAGTCCTGCTGAATGCTGGAAGCTGATTGCTGGAACTGATTGCTAGAAACTGATCACTAGTAACTGACTGCTGATGACTGAATGCTGATTAAATGATTGCTAAATGTCCAAGTATGTGAACTGTCCTTGCACAGAAACAAAACTCTCACGGGTGGTTGCCAACGGCCCTCCTTGTCTCCTCAACAGTACCCTCAGAAGTCATGATGACACATAATTTTTAATTCCTGTCGTGCAGAAAGTATGTGTACTCGATTCTTGTATGACTTCTCACAAGGGACAGTGTGTGTTCCATCATCACAGTAGTGTGCTGGCTGTACTCCTCGACTGCACTTTCCCTCCAAGTCTCCGCAGTGCTCTGATATAGTGAGCAAGAGACTTTAATCGTGATGTTGCTCTCCATATCTTCATCAGACTCTCACTACATCAGTTATCACAACTCAAGATGTGTGACTCTTGGATGATCCGGGTATGAAAAGGGGGTACTGAGTTGACTGCTGAACTGCTGAAGGCTGGTTGCTGATAACTAGTTGTTGTTTCCTGGATGCTGCCTCTTGGGGCTGGTTAGGAGACTTGTTCAACTACTGATAAAAAAACTGACTGCTTGCTGTTCTGAAGACTTGATTGCTCTCTGTTCTATAAGACTGATTGCTCGTTGTTTTGGAAACTGACTGCTCGTTGTTCCAAAACTGATTACTCGCTATCCCGGAAACTGGACACTTGCTGTTCTGGAAGCTAATTACTTGCTGTTTTCTGAATATTGTTCCTTAAGTGTTGCTTTTGAAGACTGAGTCTAAATGTTGGGTCCGAATGTTGGATCTGAATGCTGGTTCTGAATGCTGAGTCTGAATGTTGGGTCTGAATGTTGATTTTGAATACTGCTTATAAAGGTTTATTGTCGTTTGAGTTGGTTACTTGCCGATTAAGCACATATTGTGTAGTGACTAAATCCATAGTTAATTGTCGTTCTGAGCACCGCTCTAAATACTTGTTCTGAACGTAGTCCCAAGTACCGTATCGAGAACCGCACTGAGTACAGTTTTGAATATAGTTCAGAGTACAATTCCGAGTGCAACTTTGAGTACAGTTCTGA